TCTTTTTAGAAAGGTTGCACCCTCCTACAGTAACATTCCACTCTACATGTACTGTTATTCAGCTTTCTAACTCTTGCCAATATCTGATAGATATGTTGTGCTAAGTTAATATTTAAATTTGCTTTTCTCTTACTACTGATGAGTTTGAAAAACTCTTCATATGCTTTGCCACCCTTTTGGCTTTCCTCTTCTGTGTATTGTTTCTTCATATCCTTCACACCATCTATTTCTCATGGTTTTTCTGTGTATAGTCTGTAGGAGATCCTTGTGAAATCCTTACCAAATATGAAACCTTTGTTTCTTATGAATATGATCACCTGGTATGGCAGCAGTGAGGTCATTGGGAACGGGAGGGATGTGTGAATTATGCTCGGGGAAACTCAGCTGGAAGGAGCCCTTTGGAATGTCTATATCTGAGCAGATTGAGGAGGAGGGTCTGGGTAGAGATTGGGTTGGGGAGATGGAGGATGGTTGGGTACAGTCACCCACAGGGCAATATTGCTGGGTAAGCTGTACTAAGATTATCAACAACTTGGGTTTCTGGATACCAGGAATCAGTTGGGCCTCAGGAAACTCCTACACAATATGTGGTTGGGATATCCTTGCATCTGGCCCTTCTGAGGCTCAGAAGTGTGATGTCACTCTGGGCTGCTGTTCTGGGCAGTGGGTGAATCTCACCACCAGGAGCGGAAGCAGGCTAGCCAGGATGGATATAGTCAGCGCTCTATCATATCCTCTCAATGTCCACCGCATTACCAATTACGAGAATTCCACATATTTTTCAAAATAGGAATGTAGCTATTGGTATTTAGTACTCTTCATATTACTTTTTCTACTACTGTGCAGTCTCGTGAAGTTTTCAAAATATACTAGTTCACATAGTTCTTACTTAGCTAATGGTTATTACACTAAAGCGATAGCATATTTGTATAGGAATTTTTTCAGTATCCTGTGTGGCTATCATAACAGTAGGATTGTCTCAAAAAGTCTGAAGCATAAATCCTCAATATGTGCTCCATTATTTAAGAGAAAAAGAAAAAATAATTTTTACTTTCATTTTAAAAATGTATATCATGATAACATTAAAATAAAGGTTGCAAAGGCAATTGTTTAAACAAAACTGTGCAGTAGTCTTTAATAGAAAAAAAAAGTGCAATGAGATAACTTTTAGAATTTCTATTTGTGATTTTCTAAATGTTGTGGTTGAATCTATTCTTTATCTTTGGTACCCTCTTGTGGTTAGTGAAGGCATTGGTTTGGTCTTTTTTTCTTTTTAACAATTGTGGATAATTTAATATTTTTATATGTAATATGCTTATAGCTATAACCACTTGACAATTTTTATTATATATAATAACTCTAAAACTAAAATTGGCACTTGCAATCTGTGCTGTAATGATTTCCTCTCCTTCCTCTCTTCAGTGTGTGTGACGTCACCACAGTTGCTAAGCTTAAAAGCTCAGTAATAGTATGATCACTGTGCTCAGAATAAATCAGCATAGTTTGGAAAACAGAATGTAGACCCAGAACTTATTTTATACTTTTTCCAATTCTAGTTAGGCTTGGGGACTAATTTGTCCTTTATGATGATTTATATTTAAATAATTTATCTTATACATACTTATCACACATAAATGCCTATATATGTCTTCATTTTTAATGATTACCTAGTTCAAATACAGTTACCATTGATTTATAGAAAGTGTACCATTATAATATAGCATTTTATGAATCATTCCAAAACAATAAGAAGACGTGATAGGCCCTAGATGGTGTGTTTCAGTTAGTTGGAGCTTCATCCATACACCAAAAGGTTGCTGGTTTTGATTTTTGGTTAGGGCATTTACCCAGGTTGTGAGTTTGATCCCTAGTGGGGGCATGGGTGGGAGGCAACCAACAGATGTTTCTCTCTCACTCTCACTCTCCATTTCCCTCCCTTTCCTTTCCTCCCTTCTTCTAAGATCAATAAAATAAAAATACAAAGTCAGTGATCATGCATAGCATTTAGTAAAGATTCATGGATTATTTTTCCCTTCTCTCTGTAGCACTGGTTTCAGAGAAAATTCTTAGCTTGATATTCACAACAAGTGAACAGACAAGAGGTAGTTATGTAGTTATGTCCAAATGGACTTGGCTTACAAGAGCAATAAATCATGACTTTTTAGGGGAGATGTGACTTGCAAGACGTGTTCTTTGTTTTCAGAAACATGCTTCCTTAGATTATAGTTGTCCTTCATGTGGCCTGCTATGCTAACACAACTCTAATTTTATGCTCCAGCTGAGTGAGTTTTTGTTGTCTATATCTTTGAGTAGATCTTTTTTGCTGGCCGGATGGTGTGAAGGGTTAGGGTTTGAATAAGAGTCCAGGAAGTGCTTTTGGGAATAACTTGTATATTGCCAGGAATTCTGATGTGTTAGCCCTGAATTAACATTTCCAAAAATGCCATCAAACACTGACTGCAAACAAAGATGCAAGTGTAGCCACCGCAGCTGTGTTCTCTTCTCCTTCAGTTTCCTCTTTTATGTACACTGAGAAATTTTAAGCCCGCATTGTAAGATGAAAGTGAATCAAGTTTTATGTACTATACCATTATGCAGCTGGTTGACCCCAGATGAGCATGTGCAATTGGGTTTGAGTTAACGCCATTTCTGCGGAATATTCCCTTGTAACGTGGCTATTGACTTTTTGAGCAAGTGGAATATCAATGAGGGACTATTGTGGCCAGTGTTATAAGAGGAAGAATTTAATCTTTTCATTAAATATTTCTTAAGCTCTCTCTGAGATATTCAATTTTAAGGAGGATAGGGTATATGTAAAGGTCTGTGCTGCAATGTAGAGCATGAACACCGTAAGAAATCCATGTGTACAGCTGTATGAGCATTCACAAGGGGGAGAGAAAGTTGGTAGAGGGGATTTGTCAATGATGTCTATTTGAGCTGGATACTAAATGTAGATATAATTCAAATAGGTTGAAGTTGGAAGAAATGAGCATTTATGTCAAAGGAGAGATGGCCTGGGGAGAAACAAGAAAAGGATAGGAGTTCAAAAGGGGCCAGTGAGAGAGACTTTGGAGAAGTAGATTGGGCAGGTGAATTGTGGGCATGAAACACCAGTTTAAGAGAAACGTCGCTGAGCAGAAGATGCGATGCTCACCCAGGTGTCTGTCCCCTCAGTTGGGCGGACACGCTTCTCCTGTCTGAGCCTTGGGCTTCCTCGCTTCCTTTCGGGTCTGCTCATTTTGGTATGTGAGTTCCTCAACAGATCTCTTTTGGAGTTATGTTCAAGTGTGTTTCTCTTAGTAGGACCACATTTTCTCTTTAGGTAATAAGAATCCTTGGAGGATTTATGCTCACCCCCCTCATTCACAGGTTTAGTGCTGTAAAGTGCAAACCTATCAGTACTTCTTAAATGGCCTAAAAGGGATTTGAATTTCTATAGCAGAAGCCTACTTGCTCTTTCCATTCAATGCAAGCTTTCCCCTCCATTCTTCCCTTTTTCCCATCCTTGCCCCATCCATCCATCCATCCATCCATTCATCCATCTAGCCATCCATCCATTGTTTGTTGGTTTTTTTAAATCTTTATTGTTGAAAGTATTATAATACATATGTCACCCCCCCTTTTTTTTTTTTTTTGCTGGAAGAGGTTAATGGGGGTGGTTAGGGGATATCCATTATTTTTAATTTACCTTTTCCAAATCCTTATGCAAATAATGAAGCAAAACATTATGCATAGTAATTGTGGAGATTGATTTTTAAAAATTTATTTTTGACGTGGCTCAGTGGTTGAGTGTTGCCCTATGAACCAGGAGGTCACAGTTCGATTCCTGATCAGGGCACATTCTCTCTGAAATCAATTTAAAAAATACATTCTTAAAATTTTTATTTTTTAATTACAGTTGACACACAAGCTCCTATTAGTTGAAGGTGTACAATATAGTAAAGGCTGTGAAAAATAACAGTGCGTGAATCTCTGCATGGGAGAAATAGGAACCTGCATTTTGAATAGGCTTAAAGCTACCCGACTCTGATTGAAGTGGCTCAGAGACTGTCTCTCCAGAAACACTGAAATAAAAGTAAAGAGCAGTATTACTCTGGCCCATGAAATTTGAGTGTGGTTACCTAGTACTTATTTCAGAGGGTCTCATGAATGGATAAAACATGCATATTTATGGTTGGAGAAGATTATATGCCCAGGCATGTCCTAAAATCCTTTTAGGATTTTATTACATTTGCATTTCGATAGAAGCATGTGATAGAATGAAAGGTGCTAGTAAAGTTATACTCCTTCTCAAAAAGCCCTCCTGGTTACAGCCACTTCTTCAAAACAAAAACATAATTTTTAGATGTAAACAAAGGATAGTTATTATCCTGTTTTCCCGAAAATAAGACTGTCTTATATTAATTTTTTCTCCCAAAGTTGTGCTAGGTCTTATTTTCGGAGAATGTCTTATTTTCGGGGAAACACGGATAGTTATGTTGAGTATATGATACAGTGCTGCTAATCCCTTTGTTTTGACTTTAAGCTGTCTGATTTAATGATTCTATGCTTTTAAAAGTCTGTTTTCTTCCTTGTTAAGAATGAGTTGTTTGAAGTATCAAGTATCTTTTTGTGGCTGGGAAATAATGATTTCTGGAAAAGGCTCTGTGCCCGTGGTTCTCTACGCTGGCTCTATATTATCTCAATCGAATCACTAAAAAGCCTAAAGGAGACATTTTCTTTATTTGAGAATCAATTTTACAGTGCTCCAAGGGATTCTACTACAGCCAGTCTGGCCCCTCCATAAGAGAGAGTTCCGTGACACTCTCTGGGAGAATACATATGCCAATGACTGTTGTTTCATGTCCTTCTTTCTACTTTGCTTCCTATAGTTTTGCCTGTATTTTGGAGTTCACTAATCCTTAATTTATTTAATGCTTGATGGGAGCGGTGAAAATTGAGGTTTTCTTAAGGCTCTAATTTGAATGTTTATGGGTGTGTTCTTTTTTTGTTATTCCCAGGATGGGAAGAAGAAGTTTGACAAGGAGAGTGAAAAATACTATTCTATTCTTGACAAACATTTAAATTTGTCTGCGAAGAAAAAGGAGTCTCATTTGCAAGAGGTAAGCTTTTCCCAGAGGAAAAGGGGCGTTAGCATTAAGTCCTGTGAAGTCCCAATGTCCAAAGGTAGCAGTACCTCAGAATCTGCTCTTCTTTAGTTTAAAAAAGTAGATAGTTCCCTGAGCATTTACTATGGACGGGCCCTGTGCTGAACGTTTTTCATGCCTTATGGCATTTAATATTAACAGTTCCAAATGAAAAAATAGTGTTTTCTTCAACAGTACGAAAAAATGAAACATACCTTTTTCATTTTCTTCTGTTGGGCATATTTTAATGGCAGAACCTACCAAATACCTGTTACAGCTTTTATGTTAAGTTGAAAATATCTGTTTTTAAAGTGTTGCCTCAACATTGTGGCGGGGGAAGAAATTCAATTATTTTACATCATTTTTCTAAAGAACAAGCAACAGAAATATTTTACTAACCTGTATGCATATAAGCAGTCCAATTATTCCTTCTTTCTGAAATATCTGTCCTTTTCATTGGTAGTGTTTTAACTATAATTACGGTAGTAAAATCTTGTAGTCCTTTTACCAAGGCATAATGCAGGTTTAGTTCTACTGACGGTAGGTGGGCTTTTTGTTTTGTTCTGGTTTTTTTAAATGGACTTTCTTGTCATTTTCGTCCTAAGAACAACAATAACAACAAATCTTGACAATCCACCACCCTTTTCCCTGGATCTATCGTGGTTATCTCAGAGCAGCAAGAAGGGAGTCAGGTGGTCATCCCCTGAGCTCCACATGTTCACAGGGAATCATAGGAGACTGCCGCTCCGCTCAGAGTCTCCCAGTTTCTTCTCCCTCCTCTCTCTGTACTTGGAGCTGTCACTGTCCAGAACCGTTTCTGGATGCCTCATCCTGATCCAGCAAAGCCAATGAGCACTTTTCCAACTCACCCTGGTCCTCTGCTCTCTGTATTCTTCCTTCTGTTTCTCTTACCTCCACATTCAGCCACGGGAGGGCTATTTTGCTTTTGATTCCTTTTTGTTATACTTTCATTGAGGGAATTGAATTTCTTCATTTAAATATATTTCATATTGGGAAGTTCTGTTATTTAAACATGAGTTCATTATAACTTATATTGTGTTACTAGCACCTTCTATTATAAAAGGATAATTGAACATATAATTGTGTGCCCATGAAAAGGTTTTGTAGCTAAATGACATGAGGAAGAAAAAAACTGTCATTAAGAAAATGAATATTTTAAATTTTCAATGGCATATTTAATTTTATGAGGTATTATATTTATAATTTAATATTCCATTGACATGTCCCATACTACTACTACTACTAATACTACTACTACTTCCCCTCCATTCTACCCCTCATGCCCCCCTTAGTTTCTACCCTTATTCTGCTATTCATATCTTTAAGTTTGTGTCTCCAACATCTCTTCCATTTCCATACTGTCCTTATAACATCCTGATGAGCATCTCAGGGTGTGATATCATCATGTTGACCAACTTCATGCTCAGGACGTGACCATTTCTTAATGACACATTGAAATCACACATATTACCATTTTCTCAAATTTGTTCCTACTTCTCATTTCTTTAATTCTGTTAATGCTAGTGTTTCTCACATTAAAATTATTTTTTTACTTTTTTCCCCCTCCTTTCTCACACCCACGTCCTTATTTCTCAAATCCTTCATCTTTTCTTTCTTACTTAGGTATACCAAACATCTTTACTCCTACTAAATAAGAGGTCTCCCTACAGTCACAGGCACCCAGCTGCACCATTGAATCAGTATATTCTCTACTGTCCTTACGTTAATCTTCCTGGAATTCTACTTTGATCTCATCAACACTTTTCTCAAGCTTTTGTAGTGTCTATGGATAAAGTTTGCACACATTCTCTCTTTTCTGCCTTAACTCTCATTTCTGACTAAACTCTTTGATCAACCAAAACATAACTTTTCTGGACAAGAATAAACTACTGTTTGTACCTGTTCCCTCACTCAAATTCTTCTCTTTTTATCTCTACTTACTCTAAACTCCCCATTCTTCAGTCCAGCTTAAATCATTTTTCCTCTGAGAATGAGGATGTGTGTGTGTTTTTCTCTATTTAGATTGCTTATTGTACATGGGGAGTAATTTAGATTTCTGCAGAACTATATGGTTTTCTTATGTAATTAACTTGTTTTCTTACCCGGATGACTTTATTGTCCTTTTTTGCTTTGTAAACAATAGTTTATACTTGTTGTTCCGGCATAATTAGTACTGGTACTCCCTTTTTGTTTAAAAACTTTGGACAGTAAATTATATGGTTATCCCATTTATCCAGGACAGAATACAAAGCAAAAGTTGCCAGTGGGTTTATAAGCAACTGTCTGCTAGTGAATAACACACTATATGAGTTGAAGTACTAAAGGGATTCATAGCAAGTAAAGAATGTCTTTCAAAAACATATTGCACTGAAGAGAAATTATATTCTCTATGCACTGTACATTCTAGATGACCTTTCAAAGCAGGCTTGGTACAACAAATGCATCTAGATTGGAGGTGATGGGAAACACCAATAATTGGCAGATAGCAAGAGTCATCCTTTCTCTTTTATCCTTCTTGGCGCCCTACGTCCTTTGATGAGATGGACTTGTGCAAGGCAAACGAGTTTCTCAGGAAATCACTTACTACCCCCAGATTTCATGATTTGCTAGGACTCGTGGCTACAGTTCCCTGCAATGAAAAGATGTGAAGGAAACTCAGCAAAGGACTCATAGGATGAAGTCTGGGCATGAGCTTCCAAGAGTCCTTTCCCAGTGGAGACATTACAGGACACACTTAATCCACCAGTAATAAGTTGTGAAGAAAACATGTGAAAGGTTGTCTATTAGAAACTCAATATAGACCGAGCATCCATGGTTTTTACTGGGAGGTGGTCATTTAGGCACCTTCTGCTTGCTATGGTCCCACATTCCAGAGTCCCAGAGGAAATGCAGGTGTCTAAAATAAACCATGTTGTTTGCACAGATTGTTTTGACGCAGTGAACAGCTCTTATCAATAGGGCTGGTGGGAACACTCCCAACATCAACATTCCCAGATGCAGTCCAGGGCCAGCCCGGGAGCAGGCCTCCCAGCACGGCATCCGCGCCTGCTGTAAGATCTGCTTCACAGCTTTGTTAACCAGAAATAATCGCACACACGTCGTCAAGGTGGCCCGACATTCTAGTTTATTCCCATGCTCGTCAGCACAATCCATGTCGTTATCTTTTCAAGAGCAAGACCTTCAGACATCACCTGTGGAATAGAATGCTATCGTGGAGACTAAAAAATTCTTGTGGCCTTTCCACCAGTGGTGTCCTGGAGCTCTCTGTTGGAGAGCCGATTTTTCTCATCTCTTTCTCGTTCCCTCATCCACTGATGTTGGGTTTGTGGTTTGGAACTGGCTGTGGGGGAATATTTACACCACAGAAACCAGGCAGTACCGCAAATCCGGCTTTCCCCACTCTCCCCGCCGCGAGAGCCAGCTGCTAAACATTTATTAGCATACCACTAACTACACCTCCTTACCCTTCCTTCTATAAATAGTGCGCTCTTGTAAGCTGTGGTAAGAAAATGCCTGATTTGTGTAGAATGCTGATTGCCTTTGTGTTGGTGTGTGTATCTTTTCTTGTTTAGAAATTATCTTTGGGAGCTTGGAAGCTTCTGGTTCACATTTCCTACCTAGTTTATATGTCCTTTTTGTATATTCGTTTAGAAAGTTGGAATGCTCTGCTTTAAAACAAAACAAAACAAAAAAAAGAACTCCCTATTGAGCTGCTTATCATACTGGGTTATTTTTAATTATATGAATAAATGCATAGTAAGTATATATCATTATTTTTAAAGGCATTTCAAGTTGAAGTTTTAAGATGCTGTGATGTCCAAGCCAGTAAATCTAATTTTATCTTTTTTTTTAAAAAAAAGCTTCTCTTTGTGAAATTGTCATTATAAAATAGCTCCAAAGTTATATTCTATTCCCAAATTGTTGTTGGCAGATACTTTGTATTCCCTTTTCTTTTTCACCTGTTTTTAGTAATCTCAACTGGCAGCGGGGAGTATGTAATGGCATGAAAAATAAAATCACGACTCTCTCTTTTGTTTACTAATTGATTTTTTTAGAGAGGGGAGAGGAAGAAGAGAGAGAGAAACATCAATGTGAGAGAGATACATCATTAGTTGCCTCCCTTACTTTCCCTGACCAGGATTTGAACCAACTGTGGTATGTGCCCTGACTGGGAATCAAAGGACCAGGACCCTCCATTGCATGGGAGGATGCTCCAATTGACTGATCCACACAGGCCAGGGCATGCCTTTCTGTTGAAAACCAGCTTTAAAAAGGGCATGTGAGGGTGGCAGTTGGCATGAAAGAGGGGAGAGAGGTGACATAAAAAAGAAAATGAAATTACCTCAATAACCGTTTTTCTTACACTTTATCCATGGAACCTTACTGTGTTCACGAAGAATGAATGTGCATGGCATTGATGGAGTATGAATCACTAGGTTAGAACTCTGCTATCAGTATTATCTTTCTAAGGGATTACCTAATGATGTGGCTCGCTGCTTAATATTCTCAGATAATTTGTTCTCAGTTAAATCCACATTTGCTATGCAGTGTTCAAGGTCTTTGACAGTGTGATGCTAATCTTACTTCTCCTTCCTTCCCTCCGCTAATTTACTCTGTTGGCTGAGTAAACTCATTCATGGTTCTTTGCTTTTTTATGGGAGTAACTCTTAAAAAAAAAAAAAAAAATCTTTGATTACTCACTGCCAGTTGTTCATCCTAAAAATCAACTCAAACCCCACCGTTTCCTCCCAGAACTTAAAGCTCTTTTATTTTTCCATGATCCTGTAGATTTTCAAATACTTTTATATACCTCTTGTACATTATTTTTTTAAAATGATCTGACTGTTGTATGCTTACTCTGTTGTTGTTTTTCCCCTCCCACCCCATATACTATAGTTCTTATGGACAAGAGCTGTGTTTTCCTAATCTCTATATTCCCAGGACATCATAATAATAATGAATGCTGTATTAAAACTTTTGGCAGGCCTTCATTTTTAATAAAGATTTCAGAATGGAACAGAATTTGAGCTCCTCTCTAACACGGAATCATTAATAATTACTCCTTGTGTCATGGTTTGCCTTGTTGCACTCTTTAGGCAGACACACAAATCGACCGAGAACATCAAAACTTCTATGAAGCATCGCTGGAATATGTCTTTAAGATTCAAGAAGTTCAAGAAAAAAAGAAGTTTGAGTTTGTTGAACCGGTAAGTTTTAATTTCCCTATAAAATAGTAAGTCCAGTATATCCTGAGGAAAAATACCGCAGTGTTTTTCTGTTGAAACTTATGATTTTTAAAAATTAAAAGGAAGATGGGAATGTGGGAGGAGCAAACAAGTGGGCACTTTTAGGGCGGAAAAACCATTGTCTGGAACATTGATGGTGGACAGATGTCATTCCAGATTGGTGAAAACCCGTAGACTGTACAACACAGACTGAATCCCTGATGTAAACTATAGATTTAATTGATAATGATGTGTCAGTACTGGATTGTCATTTGTAACAAGTTTTCCTCACTAATGCAAAATGTTCGTGACAGGGAAACTGCTTGAATTGGGGCTAAGGGACTCTATGGGTACTCTAATTTTGCTCAGTGTTTCTATAAACTGAACACTGTTTTAAAACAGCCCACTAATTTGGAAAAAAAAAATAAGAATAGAAGGGTGTTTTCTGACACATACCTCAGCAAACACGCCTCACCATCAAAGTGACCCACGTGCCAACGCTTGAGGTGGAGGGCGAAAGCATAGGCCACATGTCACCCTTTGTTCCCGCCACCGCCATGCAGGGCTGGAACTTGCCTGGCTTTCCAATGAAGTCATTTGTTTTGCTAAGCCAGTGTGAAAAGTAATGGATTCCCTAACGCAAACCACATTACAGCAATGAACAGGTGGCCGGTCTTTACGGGGCTTACTTCATTTTCTTCCCAAGAAATACCCCCCCTATGTCGCAATATTGGCTACGTAGGCATCTTCAGGAGAGAGCGTCTGTGATGAATGAAGGTAAGTTCTATGGTCAGGATTGCCTTCCGTTAGTAGATGACACTCAACCCACTCCATGGGTTGAGAGGACAGTGATAGTAAAATATATTAAGTAATCAAATGTACAGATAACGTAAGCCATACGTCCTATGTCAGTCATTTTGTGAGAAAATAAAAATTCATTTGTAATCAGAAAACACATTCTTCTATTTTAGCGGAAGTGATAGGGAAAAGGGAAGGAAATACATACTTCAGGATATATTTGCCAAAATGTCTTTCCCGATGGAAACCCTTCTGTGTTGCCCTAAAGATGACGGGACACTGGGACAGTGGAGGCTGGGCAGTGTCCAGTCCCTGTGTGGCTTCACGCCGCTCCTTCAGCTGGAGCCACCCATTTCCTGCTGTAAACTGGGCCCCGGACAAGCCTACAGGGCCAGCCCCTCAGCTAAAGGGGTGTAAGGAACTGGAAGCCACACGCAGGCTCAGGGAATTTACTGTGACCTCTTGTTTGAGAGAGCAGCCTTAGCCTCAAGTTCTGATTGCCAGACAGCTTAGTCCTCAAACCCTTTGGAATGAATGGGTAACCTGTGTCTGGTAGATGCTCTGAGGATCTGATTCAGCTTTTCGGTGGCCTTCTAAAGCTCAGCTGGGGTTCATGGGCAGCTGGGCAGCCTCGCAGCCCCTACGCTGGGAAGATCGCCAGTACTTAGCCTTACTACTCCCTTCTCATGGACTAAGTTCTGCCTCCGCATCCAACCAGGGTTTTGAAAGCCCCTCTACTCGCTAGAGGGCTTCCTCCTGGGGGTGGCCTCTTGGGATTTTCAAATTTTAGCTCTTCTTAAGTAGCACCCCCTTCGTTCTGATCATTTTCCTTCATGCTTCTTCCTTTCCTGTTCCCGTTGCCTTCACATCCTGTGCTCCTGGGCTGCACAGTCCTTCCTGGCCTGGAAGGACCCCTTTACACCTGCCCTCATCCTTGTGCACCTGGAATGCCTCTCCCACTTCTGAGGGGCAGGCAGGAGCCCATGTTCCCATCAGCTTCCTTTCATGGCCCACCTTGTCTGGGAAGAGTGAGCTAGACCATTCTGTCCCGTGACATCAGCTCTGTGAAAATGTGCGCTCGCAGGCGACAGAAGGAATGGTGAGAGTTGGTGAACTGCTGCGACCATGCACGTGGAGAAGTGGAAACTGTCCCCCAGTGGAGACGGGCTTTCTTTCTGCTCTACTGTTCCCCAAACCGGGACGGTCTGAAGCCTTCTGTAATGCATGCCTTTCCCGTGACACCACAGTCAAAACCGGTGTCTGAATCTGCCTTTCTTCCAAACTATTTTCTTGGCCGCTGTGTTTTTCCTATTAGAATGTCTGGCCAAACCAAACAGTGCTGTCAGTTTAGTCTCGTTTTCATTTCTAGCTGCAAAGCCTCTTCCGTGGGGGTTTTACTTAATTTCCATTTCAATAAAGAGAAGAATAGGAATGGGAGCAATGAAACATGGGCATTTGCTCTTTAGGTTATGCATTTACAAATTAATTTGGAGGAAAAGAGTTTTTAAAATTTCAAAAAACAAAAGTTCCCAGGAGCGAGGAGCATAAAATCACCTGAGGATACTTCACCATCTTTGCAATTTTTATTCTGCAGAAATCCAATTGCATCACTGTTCATATTGCACGAATCTCACAGTCTATTCCCAGTAGCCCAGATTTACTTATCAGGAATTAGAGTAAAGTAAAATACCCCAGGGATGTGTCTCATCTCAGAGATTACAAGGTAACAAGTAGATAATATAAATACTCCTGATGATATGCATTAACTAAGTCTCTTTATGATGAGCATTTGAGATTATTTTACATTGTTTCAACTAATATCAAGACCCCACTACTTGTGATAAAACTTCTGCAGAATATATAAGTGGTATTAGAAATAAATATTTATACAGGGCCATTATTTCAAGGGAAAGCTCGAGGAAAATGCCAAAATATGGGAAAAAATGGGACATTTACATATTTTTAAACAATGAACTACATCTGTAGGTTTGAAAGTTACATTTTCTTGTGTTCCTTTTCAATATGTTTGGTTAGCTTTCACATAGAAAATTTAATTTAAAGGTAAATCAAAGTGAGCAAATTAGACAATGTCATTTTTTTTTTTTTTAAAGCTCTGTAGGACTAAAGGTTAAATTTCGATCCTGATGAAAATCTAAGTGCATTCATCCTATAAAAATGAAACAACAAATGTCTCTTTAGATCACATACCTTAAAATAAGAAAAGATTTTATTAGACAGTTAAAAAAATTTTATTAGACAGTTAATAAAATTTTGGAAAAGTAATTCTATTTGTTTAGCTGGCCCATCCCCTTGAACTTCCTTTCAGAAATCAATCATGAGAAGGCTTGGTCTGAATGTAGCTTCAGCTGGGCTCTGATTACCCTGTTGCCTGCATTGCCTCCTTCATCCTATTGAGCTAAAGAGATAAACTGACTTATTGCTCAGTGCTTCTGTCCCTTTCCCACAGAAGTTGGTGTCAGGCCACTTCATCTGAATGTCATCCCTTTGAATGTGTAGAAATCGCCTTCAGGAACTCCAGTGGTTCTTTACAGCCACAACTTCAGAGGGTTTTAGCTTTTTACTTATTTTTATTTTTAAAAAATATATTTTATTGATTTTTTACAGAGAGGAAGGGAGAGGGATAGAGAGTTAGAAACATCAATGAGAGAGAAGAATCCATCAGCTGCCTCCTGCACAACCCCTACTGGGGATGTGCCCACAACCAAAGTGCATGTCCTTGACCAGAATCGAACCTGGGACCCTTCAGTCTGCAGGCCAATGCTCTATCCACTGAACCAAACCGGTTAGGGCGAGTTTTAGCTTTTTTTATTGAATTGAGTCGGTTATATATCTGTTTGTTCATTTGTTCTTCCATCCTTCTTTCATCACTCTGCTTTAGACGTTATCAGCCCAGGCCATAACTGACCAAGCTCTTTCTAGCCGTGGCCCTCTTTTCTCTTCACATTTTCCCATTTATTTGGTTAGGTTTTGGTACCCCCCTCATTTCCACTCAATAAACTCCTCTGAACATGTACGTATTAGAGTTAAAGTGCTTCATAGTCGTTTTGAGGCTATCCTCCAAGGTACTTCCCTCTCAGTTTCCTTTAAGTAAGGAGCAGCAGAAACTGCAGGCTTAAGGAAAGGCCTGGCACTTGTGAGAATTGATGCCTTGCCTCTGTCCTACTTTCCCAGCCTTCTCAAGAGTTTCAGTGGCCAAATGTAGAGGGCTACATATGATTTTTATTTCTTCTAGAGCATGCCGGTGCTTTGCATATGGGAAGTGTTTATTTTATTCGTTTTATTTTAAATCAGTGTGATTGGGGTGTAATTCACATAGCAGGCACACATTGTGCCCATTTTTAGTTCATGTTTATCGATGGGGTAAAGTGGGCAACCAACTTCATTCTTTTACACTTGTCTACCACTAATTTGAAAAGACTGTTCTTTATTTATTGTTTTCATCTCCCTACCCTTGTTGAAAATAAGTTGACCATAGATATGTGGGTTTATTTCTAGACTCTCTTTCAGTTCACTTTCATTGTTTATAGGACTGTCATTGAGCTAGCATCGCACAGTTGCTTACTATTGTATTGCATTAAGTTCTGAAATAAACTACCTTTTTCATCCTTTCCAACATTAGTTTGACTGGTTTAGGTTTGTTGCTATTCCATAAGAATTTTAGACAGCTTATCCATTATAAAGAAGTCAGCTGAGTTTCTGACAGGCATTTCATTTCATCTGCACATCAATTTGGGGATTATTGCCATCTTAACAATATTGTCTTCCACTCCATGAACATGAAATAATTTTCTCTTATATAGCCTTTCTTTAATATCTTTCAACAGCATTTTGTACTTTGCAAATTATAAATTTTGTACTTCTTTGTAAATAATTTATTCCTAAGTATTTTATCCTGTTTGAAGCTATTGTGAATGGATTGTTTTTAAATTGCAGGTTCGGTTTATTCATTGCAAATGTCTACATATATAGTTGATTTTTGTATATTCATTTTGTATCCTGCAACTTTGCTGAACTTGTTTAATAATAGTTCTAGTTTATAAGTGAGTGTGTGTGTGTGTGTGTGTGTGTGTGTGTGTGTGTGTGTTAGTGGATTTGCAGTGATCAATTTATTAGGAAATGAAAAATGAATCACATCAGTATAAGAACCTTTACATCCCACTTATTCTGCTCAGTTTGAGCAACAGTCCTCTGGAATTACTGCATCAGTTGTTTTGGGGTTCCTCCCTTCCCAACCCCTTTTCTCTGCCATTCATTGTATTAGAGGCCCCTGTGAGCCCTTAAGGCTTGAAACCTGATGATTAATAGACTGGGACATTTTGAATATTCATTCCTTTGCTGAGTTCTAAAGGGTTTTTCTAAATGATTACTGACCTATGTAATGGCAGTATCAATTTCCACATTTGGTCAGGTTATTGGAGTGGCAAAATATAATTTGATTCTAAAATTCTTGAGAATAATATAGTGCTACATGACTTTTTCCTGATGATAAAAGTGACTTTCTTAATATTAAAACATAATCTAACTAGTAATTTATACTTATTATTATTATTATTATTATATTAAAGGTCAGGATTAGTTTAAGGCAAGCTGAGACACAGTAGCCGTTTCCAAACAACTGTACCCATTCAGGCAGATTGAACAAAGAAAACGACACATGGAAATGCAATTCTTAAAGATTCAGCTGTCTTACAAAGTTCCCTTAATTTAGCATCATGGAATTTGTTTCAGATAAAATTAACTAGTATAAACTCAATCCTAAAAAAAAAAAAAAAAAATTTAATTTTGTTACCATCTAGAGGCACTTATTTCACACATGCTGCCTTTATCATACTTTCTCCAAACCTATTTCCAAAGTAGATATGAAACAAAAGGGAAAGATGGGTGGTTCTTTGAATATATTTTTTCTGTACTTTCCTAAGGATTGTACATTCCCTAGTGGGTGTTATGCATATATTGTGAGATTAAAATATATTTGTCTGCTACTTAATGCATCTGAACTATGCTTGAAGATGGAAAAAGAGTTATTTATTTAAATGGATTCTGAGGAATTAGGTGTTCTATAGAAAAATGTATTGTATATATTTTTAAAGTATCATTTTTATAAGTTTAGTTAAATTCTTTATCCTTAGGATAATATTAGAATAGTGTTTTAATTGAACTGCATTCAGTTCATAGGACAGTTTCAATTTGGACTAATTATAAAACATGAAGCAACACTTCTTTTAACAACTTTATTACCTATAATTTGGATATTTAAAACACCAGTGTTTTCTTTATACTTCAAAAGTATTTTCTTATTTTGTTTCTGAAAATCTCTAAACCTACATATCCAAGCCCCCAAACCCCAATTAATTAAGGTATTTTGTAGTCCCATTTCATAAGCTACAGTTCTTTTTAGTTACTGGTTAATTTGAGAAATATTATATCATCTCTTTAATAAAGCATGATCTATTGAGTATTTAGTTTTATTGATTTCCCGTTGGTGTTAAAATGTTTTTTCCTTAATTTAAAGTAATAGCTTACAGACATACTATGCTGTTTGAATTAGAAAATCATTAGTCACTTCTCAAAAATATTAAAAAATTTTTAAGAAATATTTTATTGATTTAGAGAAGAGGAAAGGAAGGGAGGAAAGGAGAGAGGGAGAAGAAGAAGAGGGAGAGGGATAAAGAAGGAGGGAGTGAGGGAAAGGAGGGACAGACAGACATCGATTTGTTGTTCCACTCATTGATGTATTCTTGTATGGTTGCTTCTTATATGTGCCCTGACCTGGCATCTAGCCCGCAACCTTGGCATTTGTGGATGATGCCTAACCAACTGAGCTACCTAGCCGGGGCTTCAAAAATATTTTTAATTTCATTGTTAGGAGAAGTTGAGGAAGAGATTGAATTGGTGGACAAGTGTGTGTGTGTGTGTGGGGGGGGGGGGGGGAACTGCAGTGAATTAAATGGAAAAAAATTGAATTATTTTTCAGTTATAACTTATCAACCACTGTGTCCTGTAATTGTATGGGAAGAGCCACTCTTCCTACAAGAGCATCATAAATAAGCACATAAGAAGGCTAGGATCATAGAAGTTGTGCTTTTCTAGAGAGGACTTTTCTTTAGTTTTTATATGAAAGATCTGTATCTGTCTCCCTGCGTTTGCTCCTCTCTTCCCTGGTCTGTCTGCTTCCCACTCCTTGTGAAAATGTCTGTTCAATACCTAAGTCAGTACCGCCACCTTGTGAATTTTTCCTTAATTTCATCTGACTCCCATTGGTGTCTCTGATCTGTAACTCACCGCTTTGGTCTTCCTCACCTCTGCATGTTTTAGCTCCCCGCTTTGGTTAGAAGCTCTTCCTGAGCAGGCGCTTCGTGTCTTTGGTTTTTCTCCCATTAATGGTCTCTCCTCGATAGCCAATGCATTTGCATATTCACATAGTTAATACGACAGCTGTCCCTGACAAGACTAAAAAATTAAATCACTGTCTACTAAAAAGGGATTGAAAATTGGCTCTCGTGGTTTCTGTTTCACATCCATAATTTTAGTGTCGGCTTTGCCAGAGAGATTTGAGAATTTATTAGCTGAGGGTTTAGAATGAAATGTCATTTCCCCAGTGTATGGTGTTTGATGGTCATATGATTTTTAAAACACGTTTTCATGGTTTCTTTTTTTATCTTCTTATTTTTGCAGCTTTTGTCGTTCCTTCAGGGCTTGTTTACTTTTTACCACGAGGGATATGAACTCGCCCAGGAATTTGCACCATATAAACAACAGCTGCAGTTCAACTTGCAGAATGTAAGCCTGTACCTGTTCTCACTGCCTCTTTAGTGAATCAGATGGTCAACTTAGGTTCAAACCAGGCCAAACCGGGGAGTCTTTCCAAACCTTATCTCATACAGCAAAACCTCATTGATTTAGAAAAGCCACATTATACATTTATTTGAAAATGCCTTGATTTCTAACTACTGGTTGAAAGTACAGCAGGAAAGAGCCAATCTTAATATTAGGAAAATGTATACAAGAATATAGTTATTATAAAATTAGAGGCTGGGTGCACAAAATTCTTGCACGGGACGGGGGGTCTGGTGCGGGTCCCCTTAGCCCAGCCTGCACCCTCTCCAATCCGGGATCCCTCAGGGGATGTCCTACTGTTGGTTTAGGTCCAAACCTAGGGATTGGGTCTAAATCGGCAGTAGGACATCCCTTTCACAATCCAGGACCACTGACTACCTACTGCTCACCTGCCTACCTGCCTGATCGCCCCCAACTGTCCCTCTGCCAGCCTGATCACCCCCAACTGCCCCCCCTGCTGGCCTGGTTGGCCCTTACTGCCCCCTCCCCCACCGGCCTGGTCTCCCCAAGCAGCCTTTCGGTCGTCCGTTTGGTTGTGATGGTCACTTAGGCTTTTATATATAAAGATAAATACTGCTGAGATATAGATGCCTGGGCATTTGGGAACTTTTGCCTATACCCAGCGTTATTACTTAACTGGGTGAACTTAGATATGTTGTATTTTCAGAGAGGACAGCATTTATTTATGAAAGGAAGGTTGTACTGTAGCATTCTGATGCCCCATCCATCTATGAAATTGCATATAATAAATCTGATATTTATTACTTTCAGATAATTTGAACATGGTTTAAAATATTCAAAAGTAACTGTTTTAAAGCTTGAGTAAGAATTATTTACAAACATCCTATCCATATAATATTCAAAAGTAATTGTTTTAAAGCTTAAGTAAGAATTGTGTACAAACATCCTACCTATTTCTGTCAGGCTTTATTTTTGTAAAGTTTTCTAATCAATCCTTTTGATATCTGATTACAGAGTTATAGAATTACATAGCTGCTGGACACCATGTTAAAAAAAATTAGCCAACACATTTTCTTATTGTCAAAGTCTGACAAATAATGACCTTCCAATTGTTCAGGGTTTTGTAGAAGTGAGAAGTTATTTCTAAAACCCTGTCTAGTGCTCTATAGCTAAAATAAATCTGAAAGCACTCACTTAATTATTTATTTTAAAAAATTGGCCTTCACTGTTTATCTGAGTTTTGCCATTGTGAATATGTCCAATAAATAGAGCTATTGAGTTGGAGGGTCCCAGGAGCAATATGTAATTGGATTGGATTTATTCTACTTGTGTTTTGAGTGTTAGCTTTTTATTTAACCTAGATTTTCTTGCAGAATCGATCTCATATGCAATTCAGTCCATTGTTTTTCAATATGGAATGCATTTGGACTTTTTCAGTAAACATTAAAAGAGATGATTATTATAGTTAAAGTATTTTTATGACTTATCTTAATATTAAGCATCATTAACTTAAGATTCCTGGGATTTGGCAACAGGTAAGGAATAAGAAGAAAAAAAAATGTGATCCTTATGTTGAAAAGAGAAAAGTAGCAAAAGTGGCAATTAAGAAAATTCAATTATTTTATTATGGGCCATAACAAAATCTTGTTAGGCAGGGATGATTTTTATGTTTTTAAATGTGTATTGTTGAGATAATAACACTGCGGCTTGATTACAAAACATATTTTACCTTAAGTAAATTTTCTGTAATGTGAATAAACTATTTCTTGCAAACCTATCCTTTTTTTATGAGTTAGTTTATATACTGACCTCATGATAACTATGTTAGGATTCCTGGAAGCCAAGCTAAGCTATGTTTTTTTTTTTTTTTTTAAAGTATTTGAAACAAGGGCCATCTACTTTGTTTTAAATAAGTGCTACATATATAAAAATGTGTGAATTTAATTCGTTTTTATTCCCCCAAAAGAAATATAAGTCCCTATGTATCTGCTTTTTAACCTCAGGCATTAGTGTTATAAAATTATATTGAGTAAATATTACATAATTTAAAATGCTATAATTGGCCACTATGTAGTAATATTAGAGTGGGAAATGAGAAGAAACACACAACACGCACGCACATGTGCACACGCGCGCGCACACACACAGACACACAGACATACAGATTGAGATTGAGAAACATGCAGAAGTTTCACTAACGCCACTGGACATCAGCTGTAGGACTCAACATAGAGTGTCATGGAGGTGGGTGAGCAGAGCTGAAAGAATCAAGGTTATCCTTTGCATAATTTGCAGTTTTGAAACTTTAGGTTCTGAGTTCCTCAAAACAGGTAGGAAAGAAAACTGAATCTGTCATTTTTATTTACTCAAGACGAGGAACAATTTTGAAAGTACTCGACAAGAGGTAGAGCGGTTGATGCAAAGGATGAAGTCTGCCAACCAAGATTACAGGCCGCCCAGCCAGTGGACGATGGAAGGCTACCTTTACGTCCAGGAGAAACGTGAGTCACAAAAACACAACCTAATGTCTCTATGGTTAACATTCTGTTTCCACGAGACACGACTTGGATAGTGTTCCTTTACGTAGAGATGGAAACCCTTTACAGTTTATGGTATTTAGTCAGCGCAGCCACCATCACCACCAAAGAAAGGAAGCTTTTGCACATCTCACCATCAACAACTCTGAGTTTATATTGTTGAACTTGGAACTTACTAGGACAACCTTTTGCTAATGATGGGGTAACATGAATTCAGTTTTAGAATTTATTGTGATATCTAATCTCAACTTAAAGTTTGGTGGAAAATGAAAAAAATCAAAGCCTTTTTCAGGATGAATCATCCTGGTGACTGTGATAAGTGTTCCCTTCCAACCACATCGTTTCATTGACCTGTGCGTTTTCTCAGTTTCCAGGAATAAAATTGGCAATTGTGTAATGTCAGCCTGCACCGTTTGCTTCTTGAGGTTAAGAAATAAGCATCAGACCCAATAGAGCACGATTATAATTGCCTCACACTAAGAAAGTTCACCTCACAAAAATAAATACAAAGCCATTCAGAATTGTCTAACAAGGGTGCTTTCTGAATGATACTTGTCACTAAGTGGGACCAGTCTAAATTAACTATTTCAAATCACATAGGCCCTAAAGCACCATTCTCATACTCTTCATGGTGAAGGAACATCCTCCCCCTCCCCCAATCCATCATGGACCAATGTCTTTGTAAAACACAAAATCATGTGATTGGATTTTGCAGAAATGTCAAATTGCTGTAAATAGCACGCACCAAAAAACAAACAAACAAAAAAATACCTGAAATGCTTATTTTTACTTTCTGTATTTTTCACATTTTTTGGGATCCACCAACCACATGAAATGGTGCTGTTCTAAAGTGCCCCTGTCTGTACACGAGGGTGATGGAATGTTTTGGTTAGTAAGATATTAAAGGGTTTGGGATGGGGACATTGGAGATATCAGGTCAGTTATAAGTGTTTTGACACAGAGCAACATGATCACTAAAATGCAACCCCGTGTGTATTTGACATGCTCAGGTAATGCTCAGTGGCTGGCTGGTCGTATGCAAGAAAATAAGGATTTGATCTGACAGACATGGCCGACATTCATTGCTGTGTTAGATGGTAGAGGGCTGCTGGCTCAGGGGAACTGGGTTCTGGGAGTTTCTCTGAGGGCTGTCTACTTTCAGATATTGGAATGATAACTCTAGTGCCCCTCCCGGGAAGGCCCCTAAGCAGGGTGGCCTTCGAGGCTCTAACAGTCAGACTCTCCTCTCTGTGTAGCATCCTCCTCTTTTATGTTGCCTTCTTGCCCCCAAGACAAATTCTCTCTCGATTTTCTCTCTATTCCCTGCATTATCTTATCTATACAGCTTCAGTGAAGTACAATTGACATATAATAAATCGCACATAGTTAAAATCTACAGTTTGAAGAGTTTTGCCCTAAGCGTGTGCCTGTGATACCATCACCACACTCCACCTTCAGAAGTGTTCTCCAGCCCCGGTATAATCCCTCTCTCCTTCTTTTTCCCATTGACCATCCTCCCTCTTTCCCCTTACCTAGGGATTTAAAAAGAAAAACTCATGGATTTACACGCCTTTGGAATTATTTTTTACAGAAGGGACCAGTATTCAAAGCCCCTTTCCACTGGGAATCGTTGAAAGCATTTATAATACAAAAATTTGACCTGTCCACGAAGACCTATCTATTGAGCTGTTGCTATCACAGAGGATAAGTCCTGTGGGGAACAGAAAATGAGATGAAGAAATGGCTTTGGGCTGTTTATTCTGTAGTGGAAGGCATGAGGCTCACCAGCAGTCAGCAGCCAGTGATCAATAGTAGTTATCAGAGCTGTAAATGGAGTGACAAATGGAGGTGGCTGGGATGGGGCAGGGGCAGATCATGGCAGACAGGACACAGAGCTCCCGCTTGTCTGGAGATGCGGTTGCTATGTTACCCACCTCTAGGCACACATTACGTTTCATTCTAATAGGCTTGAGGTTAGCCTGGGCTCTGCAGCCAGACGGAACTGCGCTGGAATGTCATGCCTGCCCCCTGTTAACTAAAGATGCTGTGCGGACGGCTTTCTGAGCTCACTCTCCTAGTTTGTGAAAGAAGGAGATTTATACTTACCTTGTAAGGATGTTGCAGGATTTGGAGATAATGTATGTAAAATGTCTCTATTATCATCGACGGTGCATAATACGACTGCTATGCATAACAGTATCTCTTACAGCTCCTTGCAATTCATGTTTATCTCATTTATAATTCTTAAAATAACTCTTGAGAGATGGTATTCCCTAAAAAGAAAAACTCCCATCGAATGCCTTATTGATGAAGAAAGCAGTACCATCTGCAGTTCTAATGCTCTGTTCCCTTATATGTAAAATGGCACTATAATGTAATTTTAGCACTTAAAAAGCATTCCATGAATGTTCATTTCCTCCCATCTTGTAAACATCATCTCAGCAACCTCACATGATTACTGGGTAAAATAATTAAACTTTTTAAAATTTTATTTTGCTACTTTAGAGCTATAATAAATTTTTATTTTCCAAGACTGTTTCTTAAGGACTTCTGAATTGCTGGTGTAACAACATCTGCCTGAGCCCGGGGCCAGGCAGACCTTAAAGGAAGCAGCACGTGTGTGCAGCAGACTTGAAGGTTAAGTGCTTGAGATGCTGAATTTACCGTGGAGACAGGAAAGAAAAATTGAACTGAGGCCTCACATGTCAGCAGAGCATCACTGTGGCCATACTTTTTTTTTTTTCTTTAATATATTTTTCATTGATTTTTTACAGAGAGGAAGGGAAGAGGGATAGAGAGTTAGAAACATCGATGAGAGAGAATCATCAATCAGCTGCCTCTTGCACACCCCCCACTGGGGATGTGCCCGCAACCAAGGTACATGCTCCTGACCGGAATTGAACCTGGGACTTTTCAGTCCGTAGGCCAAACCGCTTTTGGCTGTGGCCAAACTTGATGGCTAATCCTGGCTCCTATGCCGCTGAGTAGTCAAGTCACTGTAAGGCTTTCCATCCAGCCACTTCCCGCTCATCAGCTCTAAGCCTTTAAGTGTTTTACACCACACGGAACAGAATTCTCAGCAAGCATCGCTAAGTATTATAGTGTAAAATGCTCCCCAGACAGAACTGAAGTTAATTGCAAAAATCTTTTGTGATGACAAAGTGCACCGCCGAACCCCATCATTTCAAAATCTGGAGCGGCTGGAGCATTAACGCCACAGGACACCACGGGCAGTGTTATTGCAGAAAAAATAAACTCAAACGGCTCATGCAGCCCTTTCCTCAAGAGGCGCACTGTCACACTCACATTTCTTGCTTTTGAATATACGGTTATGAGGCGAAGGGAGCAGTAATGCTGTGCATAATTGTTGCTGGAAAGATCCAGGTGATAAGCAGGAGAGAAGCTGCCTAGAAATCAAGCTCCGTCTTCAAGGCCCACAGCCCCTGTGACATTTGGACACGGATCATTGGCTTCCCTGTGGGAAAACTGAAGGTCGCCCACTTGGTCACACTGCATCCCTCCACCCTGGCCATGCAGCAACGTCCCCTTCCTTAAAGAGAATATAGGACTGTAACGGGGGTGCTGTGGGAAAGAGTTGCACAGTATTTATGGGAGAAAGGGAGCACTATTCATATACAAAGCGTTGTGCTATAAATAGTGAATGAAACATTTTAGTTTTTTTAAAAATATATTTAAAAAATATATAGGAAGAGAGAGGGATAGAGAGTTAGAAACATCGATAAGAGAGAATCATCGATCGGCTGCCTCTTGCACACCCCCTACTGGGGATGTTCCCACAACCAAGGTACATGCCCTTGACGGGAATCGAACCTGGGACCTTTCAGTCTGCAGGCCGATGCACTACCCACTGTGCCAAACCGGTTTTGGCCATTTTCATTTTAAGAAGTTATTTAAATTCACGTTTCCTTTTAAGATTAGTGGTAAGGGCAAATAACTTGATGGTCAATAAAGTCTTAGAGAAAGACAAGTGGTTCTTTCTTTTTCTTTCGTTTGTCAAATATTTATTGAGTGACATCTATGTATCTGGCCCAACTCTACGGATTAAGAATGTACCAGTCAGCAGAACATCATGCTTTCCTGCTCTGAGAGAGTTAGAGTCTAGTGGCAGAGACAAGCAGTAAGTCGGATACATCAGAATAACTTAGAAGAAGAAGAAAGTACAGTAAATGTCAGGTGAGGGTGCTGCTGAGTGGGCTGTCTCAGGAAAGGCAGTATTACAGAGAAGACATTTAGGAAAGGTCCTGAAGGAAGCCACAGTGCAGGCCGTGCTGATTTCTGGGGGAAAAGGAGTGCAAGCTGTTTCAGATGCCGAGTAGAAATGCATTCGCTGTGCTTAGGGACCAGCAAGGGGCCAGTGTCGCTGGAGCGGAGTGCATGAAGCACAGGGTAGTAAGATGTGAAGGGAGAGCCTTAGGGAGGGGCCTTGTGGGTTGTCACAGGATCTTTGCTGTTTCTCTGGGGTCATAAGGGAAAGCACTAGAGGGTTTCCCACAGAGGGGTCACATGACCTTGCTAAATTTTTAGCAGTTTCAAGTACAGGGCAAGTAGGAGACCAGTGGTAGTAACTCAGACTGTTATTCCTATTTCTTCCTACTTCTCTGGGATGTAAGTACCGCTTTTATAGGTGAGACAACTGAAATCAGATCCAAAGAAACTCTTGAGTTTATAGTGAAAGCTTCAAGTAAGGCCTCGTTGCTCCATTTCAAGACACTCTACCTCACACCACTCTCTCTTCATACTTGCCCTTCTCACTGTCATTCAATGAAGGTTCCACATTTACATGGTCTGTGGAAATACTTAATTGTATGTTGTAGCATCAAAAACTACAGCCCAGCTGGTGTGACTCAGTGGTTGAGCGTCTTCACCTATGAACTAGGAGGTCGCAGTTCGATTCCCAGTTAGCACATGCCAGGTTGTGGGCTCGATTCCCGGTGTGGGGCAAGCAGGAGGCAGCCAGTTAATGATTCTTTTTCATCGTTGATGTTTCTATCTCTCCCTCTCCCTCTCTCTTCCTCTCTGAAATCAATAAAAAGAAATATTTTTTTAAAAAAGCAAAACCATGCAAACGTGAACACTAGTCACTTATTAACAGTCTGTAATATTTGTTTCCTTGCTTAGGACCACTTGGTTTTACATGGATTAAACATTATTGCACATATGATAAAGGAAGCAAAACATTTACAATGAGTGTTTCAGAAATGAAATCCAGTGGGAAAATGGTGAGTTTTTGTTTTTATCTTTGACTGAAGTTATTATTTAAGAAATGAACAACATAAACTGATGAGCAAAAATAGACCCAGAAACACAGAAGCATCAAATAGACTGTCAAACCCAGAGGGAAGGTAGGGGAGGGTGGGTGGGTGGGAAGAGATCAACCAAAGAATTTGTATGCCTACATCTATAACCCATGAATACCAATAATAGGGTGAGTGAAGGCCTGGGTTGGGGTGGGGGTTGGGGAGAAAGGGGTTGGCTGGGAGAGGTCAATGGGGGAAAAAGGGGACATATGTAATATTTTCAACAATAAAGAATTTTTAAAAATATAGAACAAGTTAGAAGTTTTTAAAAAAGAAAAGAAATGGAAGTAAGACAAACAAAACCCACTCGTTTTTCTAATAAACATGTGCACAGTTTTTAAAAATGGAAAAGCCAGAAAAGTTGCTCTCACTTTGGTGACCTTGATGACTTAAGAAGAGTGGCCAGGATTTTCCTTTACGGGGGCCACGGCATGCTTTAAGCAATTGAATCAAAGGCAGGGACCCAGGCCATCTCATAACCCTGGGAGTGGACTTGTTATTGTGCTGTTGCTTGGCCACCAGGCCCAGATCTGCATCTTTTCCCAGGTGCCTCTGGGAGGCTGCCTCTGCCCCGGGAACCTTTTCATCCTCTGCCCCGTGGACTGTTGGCTGAACTGCTGGCCTAGCAAAGTTCCTCAGAAGAAATCAACCAATGCTCACTCCCCTCCCCCACAAAGTAAATTTGCCACTGAATGTCGCACATGGCTAGTGAACAATATGGAACACAGTGTACCTTTTTAAAGATCATTTAGTCTGGCCTTATTTTAACAGATTAGAAAAATCAAAATGATAGAAAGTAAGTGACTTGCCCAGCTAATTTGGGAGGGGCCGCGAGGGTACGGGTCATGGCAGGTAAATGTTGATCCTTGACACATGCTCAAATACATCAGTTGAAATTTATTGTGCTTGGGCATTCATTAGAGTCTAATAATTCAAAGGGAGAGACATAAAATAAAGGACAACATGCCAGAGGAAATGGATTCATAAGAAAAGCTATTGCCAGAAAGCTAGTTTATGTGGCAGCCAGTGAGCTAATATCAAATAGACCCCACCAAAATTCTGTTAGTAAATCTATGATATTTTCAATAGACAAAAGAATTCTTTTGTCTATAAGCAAACTGTTTTGGGGCGTGCCTAACCCATGCCCTGTGTATGTTATAGGTGTTCTTATTAAGTTTATCTTCCTCTTCAAAAACTGTAATGGGCATGTAATTTTAGACTTATTCTTAAAATTGAATGGCATGTCAGGTACATAAGAAAATGCTTATTTATTGAACCTATGTTGGATCCTATCCAAAGAGTTTTAGTGATAGTAGCAGAATAGCAATTGGTTACCAACAAAGCAATCACATGGTATGTATGATAACAATAGCATCATAGCAACTGTATACCTAAATTTTATTATTGTGGTAGCTCTTTTGAGGTTTTCAGCCAGCTGTTGTTTAATATTATAAGGCTCTAATACTAAGACACACACAATACTAATCTTTTAGCAATCTGGGAAATTTTTATTCAGAGCAACAATGTAGTATCCTGACAAACATTCTGGATATCTAATTGTGACATAACTATAACTGTAATTTCACACCTTTTATAAATTGAACTCCAAAGGCATGTGTATTAGAGTGCAATTTAACATTATAAATAAACTAGAGGTCCAATGCACAAAATTCGTGCAAGGGTCTCAACCCTTGCAACCCTGGCTTCATCTGGAAGGTCATCCAGAAGGATGTCCGGAAGATCATTTGGCTGTCCCATCTAATTAGCATATTATACTTTTGTAATTAAAGATACTAGAGGCCCAGTGCATGATTTTGTGCACAGGTGGGGTCCAGCCAGATCGGGATGGGCCTGTTGGGAGGAGAAGATGGTGGGAGATTGGCCAGCTAGCCTGCCCTGATTGGGCCTGGGGAAGGAACCGCAGGTGACTGGCCAGTGGATGCTGCCCCCAATAGGGTGGGGAACCAATTGGTGGTGAGGCCAGCCATGGGGAAGGGCTATGGGGGTGCTGATGGGGGACCATGTACCATGGGTGGTTGGCTGGCTGGCCCTGCCCCTGGCCAGGGGAAAAATTGTGGGCCAATCAGGATGGTGGGGGCCATAAGGGAAGGGGCTGCAGGAAGTTGGCTGCCCAGCCGCACCCTCTATTGGGGTTGTGGGAGTGTGATCAGGGGCAGGCTGGCAGAGGGGAGGGCCTGCAGGCTTATGGTGGTGGGGTGGGCTGATCGGGAGCAGGGCTGGCTGGAGGGAAGGGAAGGGAGCATTTGGCCAGTGGCCCACTCTTGATTGGGGTGGGAGAGTCCAATCAGGGCAGGTCGGCAGAGGGGAGGGGCCATGAGGTTGGCCGGCCAGTCCCACCCCCTGATTGGACTAGTTCACTGGCCACACTGGGCATCATAGCAATCAGTCATTAGAGTCATTATGGTCAAACGGTCGCTGGCTTTTTATATATATAGATGTTAAGGTGGACTAGACAGCCATGCCACAGAATCCTTTGAATGAAACACATATATTCAATGAACCTATTAATGAACAGTTTGGAATATTATAATTGGGCAGTTGACATTCGGCAGAAAGTCTTGTTTATAGGACATGGTGTGATTATGGCCTTGATACATACTCTGTGCTCTAAGTTTACATATCAGTGCCGCATTTTTAGGTGGAAGACTGAATGTTTTTCAGCTCGCCTCGTCATCGTGATAACATGCGTTCCCCTTCTTGTTTCAGAACGGCCTTGTCACCAGCTCACCAGAAATGTTTAAATTAAAATCTTGTATCCGACGAAAGACAGATTCAATTGACAAACGATTCTGCTTTGACATAGAAGTAGTTGAAAGGTTTGCGCTTTTCTTTTTTACTCTACATTTACTTGTTCCTACGTTTAAATATAAATACAAAGCAGCATGCAAGTGCTTGTTTTCCAGTCTCTTTTTAAAAACAGTGTGCATATTTATTTCATTTTTTTACATATTCATTTGACAAATACATATTGCAGGATTCTTTAAAAAACATAATCAGGCACAAAATGCTAGCAAAAAAGTAACACAGCTTAAAGCAGAATCTGGAAAATCAGTATAAATGACAGCATTAAGGGAAAGTGCATGCGGGGGATTTGGAGACCCTGCCACACTGAAGAGGCCTAATAGCATGGTCCTGGCTCCTCAGTCAGCCTGTTTGTAGGCATCTGTGGAGCCTGGGGCCCTTCCTTCTAAGGAATAATAAGCTGGGAATGTCACGAGCTCCGTCAGCCAGTGAAAGGGAGGGTGTGCCCTGTGCAAACCACTGTCCAGGACTCTCCGCCACAGGATGAGGGGAGAGACATAAATGTTGTGCACTGAGTTTATAATGTAGTGGGGATAGTTAGCTCTACCCCTTTCTTGTGTCAATACAAGCAGAAGAGACACAAAATGAAAAGGGGCGTGCTTTTTTATTTTATTTTTTAACTATTCCACGGTCCATTTTTCTCCCCCTGCATTGCTGTCATATTTTCTCAATACTCTAGTTTTGTGTGTGGGCTCTATATATACTATGGCATACTATATATACTCTTACATACAATATATATGATAGCTTACGTGTACCATGGCTTATAACTATCTAGTAGGGCAAGACTCCTATTTTTTTTTAAATATATTTTATTGATTTTACACAGAGAGGAAGAGAGAGGGACAGAGTCAGAAACATCGATGAGAGAGAAACATCGATCAGCTGCCTCCTGCACACTCCCCACTGAGGATGTGCCCGCAACCAAGGCACGTGTCCTTGACCGGAATCGAACCCGGGACCTTTTAGTCCGCAGGCCAACGCTCTATCCACTGAGCCACACCGGTTTTGGCAAAGACTCCTATTCTTATGCTTCTTTAACATTGTGTTACCTATTGTGGCCCTGTGTTCTCATATGTTATAGATTTTCTTATTAAGTTTATCTTCCTCTTCAAAAAACTCCCTTGGGGTTTTTGACTGAAGTTATTAAGTAACTGATGGAGAATTGATCTCTCCTTGAAGTTTTACATATTATTTTTTAGACTTATTCTTAGGTATTTTCTTTTTATTACACTTTTGGATAGAATTATTTTCATTAATTGAAACTCTTTTTTTTTTCTAAATGGTTCAGGCTACTGTCTAGAAAGACTATTATTGATAACCAGTGTAGTTGTTGAACTTATTGGTTTTAATAGTTGTGTGGTAGGAATTTCTTGATTTTCTATGAAGACAAATACCAACATGTTAGTGATTTCTCTTTTTTTATTTTTATTTTAGCCTTTTCTAGTTATATAACTATGGAGCACATGATTAAACTATGCTTTAGTGGTCTCATGTAAAATAAAAATAATAATTACCCACCTCAAAGGAAACAACACAATGCCTGGCACATACTAAATAGCAAATACTAATTATTGTTATTTTATTCTTTGTGTTGTTACACTGGTTCAAATATAAAATTACCTCTATTTTTATACATGTTTTTTCTTTTCCTGTGTAATGACCTATTTCCCTGTTTAAAGAAGAGATGTATGCATTTATCATAGTTTTAAGTCATTCAAATTTTTAAACATGCAATATTTAAATGAAATTTCCTCCTAACTAGGTTAATTCCCCTCGTTTTTGGATTTCATATCTTTTTCTCTCTCAGATCAAATTCATCTCTTCCTTTGCTCGCTCTGTCTCTCTTGAAGTACATCTCATTTCACAACTAGTTCTTGGGAGATAATTATTTTTAAATGAAATAATTTTAATATTGGGATCATGGTATAGACAAACCCTTTGGTTTTAGGATCTTAACAATTAACTAGTTATGATCTGAGGCTTTCCACATTGCTATATATTCACTGTAATTAATTTTAGTGACTGGATTGTACCACATTGAGGTCATAATCTAAGTTATCTTCACCTTGTAGAATATTTAGGTGGTTTTGAATTTGGTTGAATGTAGCTATCATCCTTTTTAGTCATTTCATGGGAAATAATTTGAACTCCCTCCTTCAGACAGACTTGTACTTGGAACACTGAATTATTTTACTACCTCTGATCATTAGAATGAAAAATATCTGTGTGTTGGTGTGGTGGTATACAGTGATTTTTCTGAAAGATACATGTAGGTCAATTTTTTCCCTTTTTTCTCCTTTTCTTTTTCTTTTCTCTTTTTTCTATTTCTTTTTTCTCTTCCCTGATTTTTCTTCAAATTTTACTTTTATAGATAAGTAAGGATTTTAAACATTGCAAATGTGTAAAGACACAGCTGGAATAAATTGAAAATATAAAATATTTGTTTTCATTAGGCATGGGATCATCACATTGCAGGCCTTTTCAGAAGCAAATCGGAAACTCTGGCTCGAAGCCATGGATGGGAAAGAACCAGTAAGAATATAACACATTTTATTTAGGTTTTATTGTTCTAATAATTACAAAGTATGTCTGGGAAAAAAATATATCTGAATTTTTTATTTGTCTGCATTATATTTGAAAACATTAAAATAGCAAATCTAAGGAGTAGAAGCTTACTATTTTCCTGGTGTTGTCTTGCTCACTGACACACAGCACCAACTTTGTAATTTGTTTCTCAGGAGGACTTTCAGGACTAAAACCCTAAAATTATTTATTAAAAATTACTTCTAATAATTAATTTGGCTTCACTAATTGGATTATTCTCTTCAGTTAATCATTTTGAATGTCCAGTATTTGCACTGTCTTTGTAATCGGCATGATAAACAAGGTGACTAACCCTCTAGTCTTATTTGGTAAAACTACCTGTGAGTTGACATTTTCTTCTCATCCATATCCTTATTTTTCTAATAGTTATTTTGATGTTGGCATGATAACTTACAGTTATTAGGGAGTTCTCTGTAAAAATAACTAAGTCATTATTTACTGTCTGTTTTCTTTATAAAGAACATGGCTTTAGATTAGTGGTTCTCACTTTTTTAAGTACAGTTCCTCATGTTGTGGTGACCCACAACCATAAAATTTTTTTCGTTGCTACTTCATAACTGTAATTTTGCTACTGTTATAAATCATAATGTAAATACCTGTGTTTTCCCATGGTCTTGGGTAAACCTGCTAGCGGTTCTCAACCTGTGGGTCACTGCTGTAGAGCCTAAGGGCAGGATAGCCACGGATGAAAAGAAATGAAAGGTATGGTTGGTTACAGGATGGGGAGATGGCACTATGGATGCAGCAGTTGTAGGACCTTGAAATCAGGACACTCCTCTGCAGATCACTGCTCGGTATCACCCTGGTAATCGCTTATACTGTGTCATTAACTGCAAGTAACGGATGGACTTCCCTTGTTTTTTAGATTTATACCCTGCCTGCCATTATGAGCAAGAAAGAAGAAAGTAAGTTGTTTTGATAAGTATTTAAATTTTTATCACAGTTATTTTTAATCACAAAGCTATTATGTCATATTAAGAGTTAGCTCTAGGAAAAAAATGATATTAATACATCTTTGATCAGATGGTGAATAAAATTCATTCAAAGAAGTTTCTCACGTTAAAATTACTAACAACTGATATTATAGTGACCAAAATAAAGTTTTCTTTCTTTATTGTTTACTTATAGGTATTTACCTTGTTCTATCCCAGAAAGAGATTTGAGGCAGTTGATAGTTAGCTTGTTTGATTTTGTTGTTGTTTTTAATGGCAGTAGAGGAGTTTATTTATCTTATTTTCTCTGCTCCAACTTATAAGACTAAAGACTTAAATACTTTATGCTAGTTTTAAGATATTGTGCTCAAGAATGTGGAATGCCGGGACATTGTCATAATACATGGGATATGTAAGAACATATGTTATCACTGTATTATTACTGAATCCTTAGCATCAAACCATTCTTAATAGAAACACTGTATGTGTTTTCTATTACATTCTAAATCCTCTTTCATTACCTTCCACCTTTTGCCTTCTTTTACACATAAAGAAATTGATTATTTTTATGTGTACTTTTGTCATTAGATTATTTGACATTTAAAACTAGTTTGTATATTTGTTTCTAAGGTTATTTGTCTTTTAAAGCAATTTCAAGTTTTATTTCACCCAATTGACTTTCTCTCATGATGTCTAAATTTATTTTTAAAACGGACTTAATAATCTTGGCTTTTAAATTGCGGTTAAAATACAAGTAAGAGTGGAGTAAATATAAAAACTAGGGAAATGCTCATTTGAAAAATCATAAATATTGAGTATCTAATCACAGAAACATTAACCAGTGGGTTAAGAGTTTTGTAAGTACTGAATGTTAGTTCTAAACAATTTCCTAAAAAAGGAATTTATTGTGTGATTTGCATTTGAGTAGAGTTTGAAATGTGTTTTTTCTAACATTGGCTCATTGTATATCCATTATAAAGACAAATTATCTACTCAGGGATGAATCTTTCTTCAAAAACAACTGAACTTATATACAGTATTGAATAAGGCTTTTGAGTGGAAAAACGGTCAAGTTAGAATATACTTGATACTTAATGTATCTCAGGAACTAGGGTTTCTGTCATAATTAGGAAATTTAAATAAGAAAGTTATCAAATATACTCATGCTGTGATGGAGGGAGAAGGTACTTCTTCATGCCATGAAAACGTTTTCTTCAGGAAATCAGTTTTTCTATGGTCTTAGCCATCTGAAACATCACTGTGCCACCATCTACAATAATAATAGGGTGATATGCTAATTAGACTGGACAGCAGAACAACCTTCTGGATGAAGCCAGGGCTGTGAGGGCCGAGGCCTCGGAGCCCCTTGCATGCATTTTGTGCACTGGGCCTCTAGTCTATATATTAAAGCATAAGTGACCAGCTGATGGCCAGTAGCAATGACATGCACTTATCACCAGGGGGCAGATGCTCAACACAGGAGCTGAAAGCACAGGCATGGAAACATGGAACAGACTGATGAATCTCAGAAGGAAGTAGGGGGAGGGGAAGGTGGGAAGAGATATGTATACTAGAGGTCTGGTGCATGAAAATTCATGCACTTGGGATCTCCAAGCCCAGCCTGCACCCTGTCGGGTCCCAGACTCCTCAGGGGATGTCTGACTGACAGCTTAGGCCTACCCCTGAGGGATCGGGCCTAAGCCGGCAGTCAGACATTGCTCTGGTGGGGAGGGGGCCTAAGCCATTAGTCAGACATCCTTAGCGCTGCCACAGAGGTGTAGAGGCTTCCGCCACCGACACTGCACTGGCCAGCCATGGGCTGGCTTGTGGCTGAGTGGCACTCTCCCTGTGGAAACACACTGACCTCCAGGGGGAAGCTCCTACATTGAGCGTCTTCCCCCTGGTGGTCAGTGAGCATCATAGCAATCAGATATTCTGCCATTAGGGTCAATTTGCATATTACCCTCTTATTACATAGGACTAGAGATCTGGTGCACAGATTCATACACAAGTGGGGTCCCTTGGTCTGACCAACAGGGATCAAGCCAAAACCAACTTTCAATATCGCCTGAGGGGTTCCATATTGCAAGAGAGTGCAGGCCAGGCCGAGGGACCCCACCGGTGCACGAATCTGTGCACCAGGCCTCCAGTTTGTAATTATAAGATGCTGTGTCCTGAAGTCCATGCATCTATATCATTTCCTATATTCTGGCTTTCGGTATGATGTATTAATTTCCTACCCAGTTCTCTGGGCTTAGTGTGACAGAACCCAACTCTCCTTCTTAGTGTACTCAATACAGGCCCTCAGAGGGATGTGTGTTCAGCACACAATGGCTGTTATTCTTACTTTTAGTGCCAGTAGTCTTTGATTGCCAAGGAGAGATTTTGATCATAAAAAGGAATATTTCAATTCCTTTTGCTTTATTAATATGTAGGGTTCAAAGTTATAAATCTTAACCTTAGTTGCAAGTTTTACTTTCATTATTTATCTGAAGCTATATTTTTTTCTTTAAGCATGTTTTTAATCAACATACAGATCTTATTCAAATTATCAATGTACTAACTTTAAAAATAAGTTTATATTTAATTTTTTCATAAACTTCTATAGATGAAGCTATAATTATAAAACTAATGAATTTATTCTCTAAATGCAATACCCTAATAAGACAAATTTGTGATTCTGGCTAATATAATCTTCCTAAACACCTGGCAACTTCTGTAATCTAGTAAATTGGCTGGTAAATGCAGAGATTAATATTCTTTTACATATTTTAAACATTCTAAATAAATCATACACAAAATTATGTAGTGATTTCAAAATGTTTTACTACATACCATAAAGCCTACATATTCAAAATTGCACTTGTTTTTATTTGTTTTTACACATTCTTAGAGATTCAAATGTTCTCACCTAAACAAAATACACCACTCGGTTGAAAAGTCAGGACTATGGTGTGTGCCACCAATTAAAGACACTCAGACTAGTGGAGCCTCCTGTAGGTGGCGACTTGGGGCTTGCCAGCTTGCACGAGCAAGGCTTTCTCAGCATCTCTCAGTCCAGGCAGCAATGAGGAACCTTTCCCAAACGTGACCCGCCTCTCAGACTGCCTCTTTTTCCAGATACTCAGAATTTAATTTCTTTTTGCATGTAATTGTGAGTAGTCTACTACATCAAGGTCTAAAATTGCCTGGCCGGTGTGAATCAGTGGTTGAGCATTAACCTATGAACCAGGAGGTAACCGTTCGATTCCTGGTGAGGGCACATCCCAAGTTTGGGGCCAGGCACTTCCTGTCTGAAATCAACAAAAATATATATATTTTTAAATAAAAAGACCTAACTGTATTCATGGCACTGTGAATCTCTTACTCAGACTGCAAGTTTACTCCTTTTCCCTTCTATCAGTGTCTTATAGTAGATACTATTTTTCTAGTGATGTATCTTAGGATATCTAGTGATGATGTCTCATAGGATATATCTGAACACTTGGAAGAATTCCAGACTCAAGAACATGGTCCTGTTTAAATTAAGAACAGCAGCATGTTTCTTTCCTTGCAACACATCCAGAATTTTACGTGTTTCAGTTCAAAATTAGGTTCCAGGGATGGTGAGGATCTCAAACTTCTTCCTTTCTTTCTTTTTTTTTTTTTTTAATCCTCACCTGAGGATATTTTTCCATTTATTTTTAGAGAGAGTGAAAAAACAGAGAGAGGGAAAGACAGAGAGAACTATTGATGTGAGAGAAAGACATCAATTGAGTGCCTCCTCACACACCCTGATCAGGGCCCAGGCTGGGGAGGAGTGTGCCCTTGACTAGAATTAAACCTGGGACCCTTCAGTCCACAGGCTGAGGCTAATCTACTGAATCAAACCAGCTAGGACTCAGACCTCTTTCTAAGTCTTGAATAAATTATGTGAGGTCATCATGGTATAAGTTCAGAGCAGCTTATATCTTTATGTTCGCCCTGTTTGTTGAGATCTCCATTTCCCTCCCCTCTTCATATTTGACCTCTTCGAAATGGCGTTATGTCAATTTCAGTATGTCAATGTCTCTCACAATTGGTATTTGAAACCGGATTAGCTTTGATTCATTTTCCACCTTGAGAAGCCCTTTATGTAACCTTGTCATTTGGATGGATCCTATTTATCTTAAAATAATCTTGTTTTTCCTTTGAAAACTCAGTTTGGTATGGAATGTGTGTTTTGAACTGCTGGAGATAATTATGAAGCTTAGAATGACAAAATAGAAAACTCAGGTAAAAATTTGATTTCAATGTCAACCATTAAAAGTTTTCATAATGTCTGGGCTGAAAACCCCAAAAGCAACAGGTTAAGAACGATCTCCTATCCTAAAATAGGGACGTACTGTGAAGATACAGAGAACATATACCATGAAAAGAATAAGAAAACTAAAATTATAGAGGGACGAGTCTCTCTTTATACTCTAACATGGAAAATCTCTCTACTTTGTGGTTACTCTTCACTTACTGTTTTCAGAGTCAAGACGCCATAAACAAAACTAGTGTAATTGAACAGAGAAGGAAAGTTTGACTCATCTTAACGAAAAATGCATGAAGTACAAAGCCTAATATTAGTCAGTTATAGGATGTGGAATCCACAAACACTTTCCTGGTTGTGAAATATATCACCATATCCTTTTCTTGGAATTGTAAGGCTGAGAATTGATTCATCTTGAGAACAGGAATGCCTGTCATCGATATTAAACAGGTGATATTGAGTTAAGGTGAGACCTAAACTGTTCCTTAAGCCATGCCAGTGGGGATATTTTGTTAAAGGACAGCTTGCCTTTAGTTCTGCATTTGAGCCCACCTTTCAAAGAAACAAATAATCATTGTTGGCACACCTTTCTGTCCCAAGACTTCCATCTTGGGACTAATTATTAGCAGGGACAGAGGCAGTTGTTTTTGTAGGCTTTTTCTCTCTGGCATTCTCTTTTGAGCCACGTTCCCAGTCA